CATGCATTTTAACCTCTATTATAAAGAAATATAATTATAAAATGAATCTGGTAGTCTGTTCTGTGCAGAACAATAGGTGTCCCATTAACTGAGTGGCCGCCAAACTACCAAGTAAATGATCTTAGGTTCGATTTGCAAGCTTGTCAAATTACGTACTGTTAGTCATTTTCACTTTTTTGGAAAATTGGCATTATCTGCAAGTACAGAGTCTGAAATTGTATCTAATATAATTTTACGTACATAAAATCACGCCATTTATCCTCGAAGAGGTAGGCAGAGGTGCACATTATGCCACTATACAATGTAACACCCACTTTTCACTATTTATGTTATGAGTCCCAAGTAATAGGGGGTTAGCCTATGCCCGGCAGTCGCACTTGCGACCACTCTGCCAATGAGGCAGACTTAAAACATAACTAGCGACAAGTGACTGTTACATTTCATATGTAATACTAACTGCTTTAAAGAATATTCTTCTAAGTAGTATTACGAAGTTTTCCAATAGAAAATGTCATCTATTTATAAATAGTAAAACGTCTTCTGTTGTTAAAAACCACTTTGAATCAATTATTAGGCAAGCTATCGATTCGTAAATAATGGGTCAAATGGGTGCAATGAACCGACTTTTCCTGGTGGGTTTTCCGAAATTATCTTCTAAAGACTTATTATTAAGTATAATCTGCTCTTGTAATCTGAGGTATAGAAACCTATTGAAATTGGAAACGACATAAAACATTTGAATATTAGTATATTTAAAAATAAATTGAAATCCATTTTATCCAAGAATTGTTATTACAATGTAAACGATTCTTTAATGACAGTAGTTTGTAGGACATGTATAAGTTTAACTTTAATTATTTAAGCACTGACATTTTAATGTATTATACTATGACATTGGCTGCCTCGTTGGCCGAGTGGTCGCAAGCGTGACTGCCGGCAAGGGGTCTCGCGTTCGATTTCCGGGTCGGACAAAGTGTAGTACTTTAGGTTTTTAAAAAAATCTCAGTAGTATCACAGAGTCTGGAATTGTGCCCGGTATATGGCAATAGGCTCACCCCCTATTACATAGGACTCACAACATAAATAGTGAAAAGTGGGTGTTGCATTGTACAGTGGCATTAAGTGCCGTAATGTGCACCTCTGCCTACCCCATTGGAGATAAAGGCGTGATGTTATGTTATATTATGTATAAGTTTAACTTTTTATTATTTAAGCACTGACATTTTAATGTATTGTACTATGACATTTTTATTTTAATGTTTTGTTATATTATCTTTATGATTTTGAGCTAACAATATTTTATACGCCTGTGAGGGCAGATTTTGGTGGTACGAACTTAATACTGTGATCATAATTATTTACCAAAAATGTAATGAATAAATGATTTTGATTTGGTATAACCTATATATCCACCTATATCTAGACTCCATTTTATTACCGCGGAGGACTTAACGGGCTGCCGGGTGGAGACCCGTTAAGAGCCGGAGGGCTCGAAGTGCAAGAGTAGCAACGGGGTGGTTTTTAGTCAAGAGTCTGACACTCCCTCCTGGCTCACTCAGGCGGGAGAAGCCACTTGATGATTTTCCCCCCTTAAAAAAAAATAAATGAGACAATTCTATTACTAAAAAAAAGTTCAAAATCTATGTAACGCTTTATCTAACTCAAGGTCAGTTGCCACACTTACGAGGCAGTAGCTATCATAGAATACAATATAACTCTGATTTGAAATTATTGGATTCATGCAAAATCAAACTATTTGTAACTAAAGAAAGAAACAACCCCACACTATTACTTAAATGAAAAAAAAACAGAAGCACATTAAGTTTCCTCCTTTAACCCAAAACCGGCGAAGTGGGTCGAAAACTACCCGAGTTGTTTGTCACGCGGAGAGTAGTTTACGTCAAAAGTCGCCATTAGCCTTCGATAGATGGCGGTGTACTAAAGAATTTCGTCGAATGATGACTTGAGTGTATTTCACCGGTTTTACGACGCTAGCATAAAAGTTCTGAAGAATATTGTGTGACCTACATACTTTGTTGGCTTTATGCATCCCTAGATATAGATTAAGTTTTCTATGATGTATAGTCTACGAAGAGGTAGAAGAGAGATTTAGTACTTTACAGCCAAAATAACAACATATTATTATTTCTATTTTTAAGTTCTTTGTTATAGGTGTCATGATGTATTATTTTAGTTTTTAACTGTATTTGATGGGTGCAATAGCAATACAAGGCAGAAATTACATAAAAATAGGTTTTGTGCACTAAGACTGAATTTCAGTGTTACATTGTTCTCACACAATTCAAATAACAAAACTATGTAACTAGAGAATTGTATTGTGAACCTGATTGAAAAACAGTAACCTATGGAGTTTCTTGCTTGTGCTCCATTCTCTCCATAGCAATCCACACCTTGCAATGAGCAAATAGCTTCACTTTTAATTGTTTGTTGACGTTCAAAACTGCCTGGTTTAATTGAAATAAATGATTTTGACTTTGACTTTAAGTTTTGACTAACTTTTTTTTTATGTATGAGGCCATACAAATACAGCAATTACTTTATATCTTAAATTTTTTCTCGGATTTTAGTCAGATAACTTTGTAACCTATTGCAAAACTCTAACACGTACCAATTTAGTTCTTCTAATCCGTTAGGTACTAGAAATTGTAATCAAACAGCTAAATTTTACACTTACAAAGATAACGTAATTTATATAAATTTCGAAATCCCCTAATCGAGAACACAACATAAATAAATTATCAACTAACACCAAATGTATATCGGACACAAATATCAATTTTGACCCTCGCATAGTTATAGTTTTGCACCCGCAACTTAACCCTAAACTGCCGGTGTGATTAATACTAAAATTAAATTTCTCTTCTCGCGTCCAGGGGGCGTTTTCTCTACCAAATTAATTCACGACGAATACCTCCTCTGCCTCCGAATAGTTAATGATTTATTATTGTTACTGTTGGTTATAGTTTGGTTCGGTATTATGAACACGTATCACAATGATTATTATGGTATAAAATTTTGAGATTATTATAGAGATGAGTTTATTTTGATACGGGCGGCTATGAAGTTGTTAGAACGTTATTTCGTGAGTTTTGATTTGGAGCTTAACGTATGTTCATGCTCTGTATAAAAAATACTATATAACTTCACGCCTTTTATCCCCAAAGAGGTATCAGAGGTTCATATTTATATTACGGCACTTAATGTCACCATACAATGTAACACCCACTTTTCACTATTTATGTTATGAATCCCATGTAATAGGTAGTGAGCCTATTGATTTGATATAATTCTGTAGTATTTCTAGACCAATTTGAGACGTAAGACCTATTTTATTGTACTATAGTCAAATACAATAATATGACCAGAGATGTTTTAATAATGGAGAAACTAAAACTAAAGCAGTTTTAGTAACTTTTTAAGTATCATAATTATAAGAATAGATCAAGACGACCAAGTACAAAAACTATTTAAACTATCAATTGCTAAACACGAAGAAATTGACAATATAAAACTAGGCCCACCTAAGTAAGTGTCACAATTACATTAAACAAACAAACGACACCCCACTCTGGACACACAAAGACCGGACGATCTTAACAAATATAAGGTCACACATTAAATCTCAACCCTCAAACGCCGGGGGTGCATTTAAACAAATGACTTCGACTCTCGGTAACACTGTAGCTTCATTAGTGACGCTCGATTTGTCCCATGATCAAGTAAAATTATGACCGGACTCTTAGTTGGTTAAAATATTAGTTTCTTGTGTGACCGGCGGCGGTGGTAGGGTTAAATTTAGGACCGTTTGCGGGGTTGAATCGATAATATGACGTGAAGTATGGGGGGGTTAATGTTTTTATGATTGTTTTTCTTTCACTATTTGATTACATGAAATCATTAATAGGTATATAAGAAAACATTTGTTTTGTCCAAAATACTCAAAACGATGACGAATAATTAAATTAAAAATAACTTAAACAATAAGGCGAGCGAACGTACTCATAACTCCTTTAGATTTCCAGGTGTCTATGGACGGCACCGATTGCTCACCATCAGTTGTTCCGTCTTCTCATAGCCGCCCTAGACCACGAAAAAATCTAGAACTAAATTAGTATACATACCCACACCAACTACCATTAGACTAGTTTTTTGACCACCTTTCAGTTTTCAGTATATTTGAACTGGAAACCAAACATGTCTCCTCGCAAGTGATTTATTTAACCACAATTCTGAGTCATGGCGTCTAGGACTGACCATCGTCCCTTGGGACAAACTTATTTATTAAAGTTTGAACTTTAACATGATTTGTTGACGGTTGTAAATCATCTGTTTTACTTATTGCGTTTTAGTTTATTAGATTTTCTATGTGTGTGTTGTGTTTTATAGTGTATTTGTGGATAAATGATGTATGGACCTTTGTTGATTGTGTATTACTAAATTAAATTTTTAACTAATAATAATAATAATAACATCGGAGTTTAAGATACCCACTTCTCATGCATGAGGGTGCGGGTTCGAAACCTACCAACGGCAAGTACCAATGTGACTTTTACCGAGTTATATGTACTTTCTAAGATTATTCAGACACCACTGACAAACGGTTGTGTTTGGGGGGATAAACACGGTGAAGGAAAACATCGTGAGGAAACCTGGGCTTATAATTTCTAATTATAAGTTTAAAATCACCAATCCACATTGAGCAAGCGTGTTGATTAATGCTCAAACCTCCGTGTGAGAAGAGCCAAGCCTCTTCTCCGTGTGAGAAGAGGCTTCGCTCAGCAGTGGGCATTTATTGGCTGGTGATGAAATAATAACATCAGGCAGAGGTGCACATGTAATAGGGGTACTGCCATATACCGAGTACAATTCCAGATATGTAACAATTCAATAATTCTTTACCCAACTCACACGCCCAAACTTTCTTGATAACCTCCTTAATCGCCCTTAATTTAATAATGAAATTCTCTTTCCTTTTCCAGGCTAAGATGAGCACAGGAGATGGAACCGTGGGTGGTCATCAGAAGGCTGATGATCGTTTGGGTCATCATCAGTCCATGAGCCAGATGTTGTACGGAGCCGGCCTGGGGCCTGGTCGATCAGGTTGGTATTGTATGTACCTTGTTCTTATGAGTAGCTAAAGTAGAGTTTTTCATACATATTATTAATGTTAAAGTTGGGTTTGCACATTAATATTGAAACTAAATTAAAATAGAATAAAACTCTAATTTTGAGAAATATTTGTAGTTCAAACTTATACCATATAAGGGTGCAAATATCTACCATTTCGGGCTAAAGCTGACAAAAAATATTTGGGTGCTAATAAACATAATTTAAGTAATAAGTAAACAATCATCTGATTTTATCGCTGATCGCTTACCATCAGGTGATCCGGCCACTCGTTTGCCTCCTATTCCATAAAAAAGAATGTATTTAATGATACCATCCATGAAGTTTCCAAGAATTCTCATGCGTAACTCGAAACAGAATGAAATACCATAGGATTCTTAATTTTCAAATTACTTCCAGTAGCGTATACTTTTATCTTCACCTAACTCAACAAATACCCTACCAAACTATTATATTCTAACACAAACCATTCCTTCTTCCAGGCTCTTCATCATCATCACCAGTGGGTGGTACCAACACTGGCTCTGGTCTCCTGGTAGTCCCACAGCCGCTGGGCAAAGGTCCCACCAAACTCCAGCCCCTGCACGCCCACGCCAGGAAGTACCACTGCAAAATGTGCCCTCAGGTAAGTGACATAGATATTATTTTAGTGTGATTAAGTGTGCTTTATTCTGATATTTGTTTTTTTAAATATGTGTAAATAAGAACTATCAAGTTAAATTTCTTTCGTGTATCGAATAATTAACATATACACAAATAAATTGGATTTTGAAGATATCAACCCACTTAATATTGCAAAAGTTTACGAGAAAAACTGACTGCCTCGTTGGTCGAGTATTACTGAGTTTTTAAATATTCTCAGTAGTAGTACGGAGTCTGGAATTGTTCCCGGTATATGGCATGATGCTCACCCCCTATTACATGGGACTCATAACATAAATAGTGAAAACTGGATGTTACATTGTACAATGGCATAATGTACAAATCTGCCTACCCCTTCAGGGATAAAAACGTGATGTTATGTTATGAGTTTACGAGAAAACTTCAACGAATCAAGTGAAAATTGAACTATTCTCGTTGTATAAAAAAACATAAGAAAGCAACTCCTATACCATCTTCAAGTCTTCTAGAAAATTCCACATTTGGTGATACCAAAAGGAACTTTTATGCCTGTCACCTAGGATAGTGTCGGCCATAGATTGCAGCGATATGAAACAATCTTCAATTCACATATTGAGTTAAAGCTCAAACGTGTTCGGCAAGTCATTGTGCAGGAAGATCAGAAGTTGCATTATGGCTGCTGGTAGATACAATATACCCAGAGTCACCAACTATTTTGGTGATAGAACACTAAAAAAGAGAATACCGTATCTATTAAACAGTCTGCCGACAGACATAAGGAGTGAAATAAATTCAAATAGGTTTAAACGAAAATTGAAGTCATATTATTTAGAAATGTCCTAACTAAACAACGTTTGCGTTGTTTCACGTCGCTCGGTTGCTTCATCCTGATACGCAGCCGCGGAGAACCTATCGGGTTACCGGGGTTCCGGGTCGAAGTGCAGGAGTAGGATCGGGGTGGTTTTTAGTCAGTAAGAGTCTGACATTCCCTCCCGCCTCACCTAGACGGGAGAAGTCATTCAATGATTATCCCCCCTTATAAAAAAAGCGTTGTTTCACGTTGGTTTTCTACGAGGCCGTAATTTCACTCCGGTTGAGCCGAGCCATTCGTGCCGAAGTATACCTCACCCACATTTAAAAAGTAGTTACTTGATCATCTCAATAATTGTACAGACTTGTCTTACGGCATTGTATGTATCATGCGATGCGTTTGGTACGGCTATGGTGAAATGATAATGAGCTACCGACGCCGGCTGTTATTCATCAAAATTCAATTCGTCAACTGTATGTACGGCTAGCAGATAAAGTCCAATTGGTTTTTGTTTTATAGTACGTAGAGAACTTTTTATTATTTTTATATTATTCGTACTTTTTAAATATGACAGCCCTATACTACCTACTTATTTGTTAATAAGTTACTATAAAAATTATTAAATTCATGTATCTACGATATTATTCAAGTTTATATTAAAGTCATGATAAAATAGAATTATATTATTGTCTGCTAAAATATGAGCAGATCAAATATTTTTGACAATTTTCTCATAAGCAAAACTATTGAAATTATGCATAAACAATAGAAATATTTGACAACACGTCTATTGCATGACATGCAAAACTGTACTGATAACAATGGTACGTTTCAGTCTGCCCCTTCGGAAAATCAAAGTCATGGTGTTATTTTTTCCAATAGATCAAACTCCACTTGGAGCATCCACAAGCTTCACTTAATAGAGTGGGTACCAAATATCAGATCCATCTGTCGTCAATAAGGGGGTACAATTCTATTTACTAAATTTGATTCAAACAAACAAACAGGACAAGTTAACTAAAACCATGAAATAATAATAGAAATTATTTATTAGATAGTTAGAAAAACAATATTATTTGCTGTCGCTACAGTGCTCCTGTATAACTTGCAATTAATTCTCTATTTTAATGTTTTTTGCTCGTCACATCGCATTTAGTGGCTCCATCTTTGATATTTTATACGTAAATGTTGTGGCGAGAACAGTCACTAATCGTGATTTAATTAAATTGTGGTATGAGTCAATTTTGATTGAAAATTTCATGTAAATCAACACTTAGATGTGATTAGAATGTGTTGCGTAAAAGAAATTAGCAAACACTTCGCCTATGTTATAGAAAAAAAAACTTTTTATGAAATTACATCACAGAGGGTAACAACATACAAGACAACAACATCAAAGAGGGTAAAGATATAGGTGTATGGTACAATACTATTACTACCACAATAATTTGAACTTCAAACCTAGAAAACATTAATTCAGCCACAACTTTTATTATCGAATACACAATTAAAAAATTTTTTTTTTATGGCATCAGCCGGTAAACGAGTCGACGGATCACTTGATGGTAAGCAATCGGCGTTGCTCATGGACACCTGGAACACCAGAGGCGTTAAAAGTGCGTTACCGGCCTTTTAGGGATTAGGAGTTTGAGGATCGTTGGGGATTCAGAGATTTGGGAGATTGTGGAACGGGAGGGTAATTGGGCCTCCGGTAACCTCATCCACATGACGAAACACAACGCAAGCGTTGCTTCACGTCGGTTTTCTGTGAGGCCGTGGTATCACTTCGGTCGAGCCGGCCCATACGTGCCGAAGCATGGCTCTCCCACACATTTCAGGCAATTAAAGCAAAAATTAAAAGTCTAAAGCCTATTTAGTCCAGTCATCTTGCCGCCATACAAACCATTTTGGAAAGGCAACCGTTTAAGATAAAAACTTCAAAAACCAAAAAAGAAAACCAAAGCTTTCAAACGCATCCATATTCATTTCCCCCCAAAAAATACGCCGAAAAGAAATGCGAGTAAAAAAAAAAATTGTGCGAGTTTGATTCGTCCACTGAGGGTTCCGTATACAGTCAAAAAATATTTTACTTTCTCATTTTTTGTCATAGGTAAATCGAAAACGAATCACTACAAATATAATCTTTTTCTTCTGATTTGACCAGCGATTTGGGCATAGAAAATAAATAACTACCTAATATTTCTTTGCCATAATATTTCCTGAAGTATAAAACCTGGGTGTCTTCAGGGCCTGAGTGAATAGGTTGCTTATGGGTCGACGTGCTCCATCGTAGACCGCATCATCACCTACCAGGCGAGATAGCGTTCAAACGTCGACCCATCAAATATAAAAAAAATATATAGGTACAATTAATAAAATCGATTTCTGTGCATAATTTTTATATCAAATAATAACAATCGTTGAACAATGAACATGCTCTAAAGCATTCGTAACGTTTATAATTTGTATATCGTCATAAAACAATGTAATAAGGTACTCGCCAACAAGTCAAATTCAATACTATTTTTCGAACTGCCAAAAACGATCGTTTTCTATGAATTTTGTACGAGATTGTGTATTGTAACGTCAAGTTTTTTTAGCGTCAAACAGCATAATTATATCTTTAAAAAAAGGCTGGAAATATACTAAAATTAAGTTATTCATAAAATTAATTAATTAAAGTGTGATTATTTTTTAATATTTTATTGAAATGAATATTCGGAATAATTTACTTTTGACTCTTTGAGTACCGTCATTATAGACACATTTAAAGAACAATAGGTTGCGGTCACCGGTGACCGCGCGGTGTCTGACAGCAAGTACCAAATTGTACCAACAAAGTCGTTTAGTCTAGTAATGATGATAGTCATACATGCATGCATACATACAACATATAGTCAGACAGTAAATTAGACCTAAGTTTTAGGTTATTAATTTTTAAACTACGGAACCCTAAAAAGAGACGGAAAAGGGGAGAAAGAGACAAAAAACCATCATCGAATAACAGGCTTCTAATCAAAATCGTACCATGGAATGTCATAGTAGGAATACCGATGCTGCCCAGTGTCTGAGACAAAAACCAGAATCACTTGATACACGAGCGGTTTTGTGTAAATTTTCAAATTCCAAAGTCGGCATTTTGACGGTCACTTTGATGGTGAATTTTCGGTTTTTTCGCCCTCTAAGACTGCGACTAGTTGTTTTGTTCAATTTTTCCTTATTAGGTAAGTTTAGTATGAGTTGCTAGGTGCAATTTTCGGTCAAGATTTTACCATGCTTTCGAAAAGTTACCCCATTGATTGTCATTGAGTTTGGTCAAATTAACTGCTTCGTTTGCCGAGTGGTCGCAAGCGCGAGTGTTGGACAAGGGGTCTCACGGTATTCCTGGGTCGGGCAAAGTTTATCTGGGTATTTTAAATTTTTTAGTATCTTCGTCTAATGTCAAATGCCTTCGCCTAATGTAATAAATAATAAAAACTTCTTTACTTCTATACAGTCATTCAAACATTCATTCAACATTCGTTCATATATTCGTTGTTATGGTTAGATTATAACCTCAAAATCAGATACTTTTTTAAAATATATCTCATCTGCAGCTAGTCCGGTATAAAAACAAGATCTTCTAGGAGTCTAAACATGATATGGAATACAATTATCTGATACTCTTGGCTCCAGGGCAAACAATGTATGGACGTAGAGCAATGTCCTTTCCCAATATGTGACAATTTACATCCAAAAAAACAAAATTTCTTCAACATATGTCTCCTTCATTACAGCTTCGCAAATCATTTGCAATATTTCACCGAAAATTGACTTTTTATTGTACCTACTTATGCCCCTTACTTCAATATTCACGATATAACCATTCAATATTATTAAACAATCATGCACGACATCAGACATGATATTTTTCTTCACCCACTTCTCACACAAATATCAACTTTACCTCCTGAAATAGAAAACTCATTTTCGTTTACCCAAAATTCTCTTCTCACCAATCGAATAGATCTGTCAAATTCATTTTCGATTCTATTCTCTTTATGTTAAGGTATATTTTTCTGTAATAATTGCTAGGTGTTGGTACTGATAGGCGTCTATTTTTCATATCTCGTCATTTCCGGTTTTCGATTGTTTCAGCGGATATTTGGAAGGTCTTTTTTTTTATTGGCTGTCATTTGTGGTCAGGAAATGGG